AGAAATGTGTGATGGAAAAAAATGAAATAAGAACAGGGCACCTGGACAGATTGCACAGCCAGGAGTGGCCCCTGGGATACCTAACTTATTGAGTGTTTTAGAGGTCAGCTGTCACAGAAATTAATCAACAAATTAGCCAGCAGCATGCAGTGTCAAGTTCCTATCATCCCTGCTAGTTTGTGTGTGTGTGTGTGTGTGTGCATGCATGCATGTGTGTGCGCACACGGGAGGAAGAGTTCCCTTTATAACACAATAGATGTGGGTCCTGGCTTAAAAACAAACCCATCTTGAAAGCAAGTATATCTAGAGATTGATCAGTATCATATGTGAATAAGTAAGTGTGATTTACCTCGTGCCTTGCAGTGGGGAAAAAAGAGTAAGAGAAAAACGGAGAAAGTGATTGGGAGACTTAGAAGCTCTAGTGGATGTGTGTCAGATGGTAACTATTTTGAGGTACTGTCCACTCAGTGTTGGAATAGGTTGTTGCTGTGCTTTGAATTTATGATTAGTTCTATAGCTTTTAAAATTAGAACTTATATCAGCTCTGATTAACACACCTGTGAAGAAACAACTGAGGTTTTGCATTTTTTTTTTTTTTTTGAGGTTTTGCATTTTATGTACTTATTCAACCACCACATCTTGGATGTCTTTCACAGTCATATTCCTAGAGCTCTGGGCCAGGTGTGTGAGGAGGTATAAAAGGACATTCTCTTACATGAGAAGTCTCATTAGGTTCTGTTCTTATTACAAATTCTTACCTAATAAGTCTTTTTGGCCTCAGTAATCTGTCTCTTTTTATTTAAAGTATCAGTGAGTCATTCAGTTCAGTCACTTAATCATGTCTGACTCTCTGCGACCCCATGGACTGCAGCACACCAGGCCTCCCTGTCCATCACCATCTCCCAGAGCTTGCTCAAACTCATGTTCATCTAGTCGGTGACGCCATCCAACCATCTCATCCTCTGTCATCCCCTTCTCTTCCTGCCTTCAATCTCCCAGCGTTAGGGTCATTTCCAGTGAGTCAGCTCTTCACATCAGGTGGCCAAAGTATTGGAGCTTCAGCTTCAACATCAGTCCTTCCAATGAATATTCAGGACTGATTTCCTTTTAAGATTGTCTGGTTTGATCTCCTTGCAGTCCCAGGGACTCTCAAGAGTCTTCTCCAACACCACAGTTCAAAAGCATCAATTCTTCGGCGCTATTTTCATTATGGTCCTGCTCCACACTCATACATGAATTAAAGTCAGTAGTTCTAAAGTGTAAGATTCTAAAATAATTTCCAAATCAAAGATTTGTCATATTTAGGGGGTATTCTGTCATACTGTAATAGAAATGCATTGGCCAGTCCTAAGAATAATAAACATATAAAGTTTTATATTTAAGTAAAATAATATTGGTGTAATTATTTTCATAAATGTAAGATGTGTGTGTGTGCGCGCTTAGTCACCCAGTCAGTTCCGACTCTTTGTGACCCCATGGCTGTAGCCCGCCAGGCTCCCGCATCCGTGGGGATTCTCCAGGCAAGAATAGAAGGTTGTTAACATTTTGTTAGTTCCATGAGTGGTATAAACAAGCTCATGAACTTTGGGGGGAACCGTTGGAGCATCTGCGGTGACTATGGCACAAACAAAGAGAAGCAGCAACAGTACTGAGCTGTCTTATACCAGGCTGAGTAGAAGAATGATACATGATAGAAAGCAGTACTTTCATTGGGCTTCCCTGGTAGCTCAACTGGTGAAAAAATCCGCCTGCAATGCAGGAGACCCCGGCTTGATTCCTGGGTCGGGAAGACCCCCTGGAGAAGGGACAGGCTGCCCACCCCAGTGTTCTTGGGCTCCCCTGGGGGCTCAGACAGTAAAGAGTCTGCTTGCAACGTGGGAGACCCCCTGGAGGAGGGCATGGCAACCCACTCCAGTATTCTTCCCTGAATACTCTCCATGGACAGAGGAGCCTGGCGGACTACAGTCCGTGAGGTTACGAAGAGTCGGACATGACTGAGCAACTACACCCAAGACTCTCATGTGTTCCTAAAAGTATCAGGAACAATGAAAATTGTGGTGTATTAAATCTTTTAAAGTATAGTGTGGTAGGTAATTCTTTAATTTGTAAAAGTGAAAGTCGCTCAGTCATGTCTGACCCTTTGTGACCCCATGGGCTATCCAGTCCATGGAATTCTCCCGGCCAGAGTACTGGAATGGGTAGCCTATCCCTTCTACAGTAGATCCTCTTGACCCAGAAGTTGAACCGGGGTTTCCTGCATTGCAGGTAGATTCTTTACCATCTGAGCTACCAGGGAAGCCCTTTAATTTGTAAAAGTCCCTTTCAGTAAACATTTGCAGTAGTTTCCAGCCCATGTATTCTTTAATTGTCATTTCTGGCAAAGAGTTTAACATGAACAGTTTGACGTAAATGGAATGTGGGTATCTAGAGGTTACATTATAATAAATACTACTTTGATTGCTTATTTACTTGTTTCATCACAAAGTAAATATAGGTTCAGCTAAGGAAAGAGAGAATCCTGTGCAAATACAACATATATATAGCTGAGAGGCTGTCTCCCGGGCAATAGACCTCAATAAGATCCCCAAATAAAACTTATCTTGCAACTTTAAGTTTGTGCATTTTTCTTCAGTTTACAGTTTCAAGAAATTCACCTAAGAAATTTGCATGTGAGTGGACCCCTGGTTCAGCAGAAAACATTGGAGTTTTTTGGTAACCTTGGGCATGATGTGTTGGACACATGTGATGGCTGAACAGATTTCAGGCATATCATGGAATTGTTTCAGAAGTTGTCTGTAGTGGAAAAAAATCACTGTTCCAATAGAGAAAATTAGTAACTTGAATGCTGTTGAAATTTTTTAAAAAATTGCTAGTTACCACTTGAATGATGTTTTAAATGCTGTTGAACTGAGTGTTTTATGAGTTGTTACCTCATGTGATTCATGTCCAAGGTGGGCTTCGAAGAAGAGGTAAATGGAGGTTGATGTTCGTTCTATTCTGCTGTGACGCATTGTGGTCGGAAGAGGTGAGAGCACGTGTCTTTAGCAAGTCCGTTAACAGCCAGGGCTTCAGAGATGTTCATTTGCTCCCTAGTGAAGATGAAGCCAGCATACGTGTCCAAAGAACATGAGTAGTTTGATGAATGACTGAGAATGGTTGGCAGAAGGATGAAAGGAGTGAAAAGAAGACCCTCTTGCTGATGGACAGCTGCTCTGCCCAACACACTCCTGCGTTTGGATTACATGTGTTGAGTTTCCTCATTGACTGATCTTTTTCAAAGACAGTTTTGAAAAAACTGAACTCCTAAAAGCTTCTCCATAAATAATAAAGTTGCAAAAATATTGCTCTTATGAAGACTGTAAAATGGAAAACTCAATACTTGAATAAACAAAGCCCCAACAAGTGTTTAAATGTGAGTGTTTGAGTCTCATTTCATAACATTTACTGAGGGTCCAGCATTTCCCCCAAAGAATTTTATTATGTTGTCATGAATCTCAGCCGCTCTTTGGAAGGCTTCTTTCCCTGTCTTTTCCCTTCCAAACTTCCCCCCACCCACCCCACCAGCATTTGGTGGCAGGATTGGTAAGAATAACCTTTTGCCCAGTAGTATGTAGAAGAAAAAAATATTCACAAAGTATTGACATTGTGGCAGGGAGAGCCAGAAGCCAAAAGACGTACTTGGATCTATCAGGATAGATTCTGAGTCATTAAGAGAAAAAGGATTTCCAGTTAAGGAGGTGGCACGGTGTTTGTTGCCAGAGAGCGGGCGACAGAGTGAGGAAACAGCTGCCCCCCCTTCCTGGGTGGCCCAGGGGAGGGGGGCAGAGCGGTGGGAAGGGGAGGCGCGGGAGGAGTCGATCTGTAGGAGGAGCGGGGCAAAAGAACGCTCACGCTTCTTAGGTCGGTGGGCAACCCACGTGAGCAACGGTGAAAATGGAGGGAAATCAAGAAGGTGTGGGCAACCCACGTGAGCAACGGTGAAAATGGAGGGAAATCAAGAAGGTGTGGGCAACCCACGTGAGCAACGGTGAAAATGGAGGGAAATCAAGAAGGTGTGGGCAACCCACGTGAGCAACGGTGAAAATGGAGGGAAATCAAGAAGGTGTGGGCAACCCACGTGAGCAACGGTGAAAATGGAGGGAAATCAAGAAGGTGTGGGCAACCCACGTGAGCAACGGTGAAAATGGAGGGAAATCAAGAAGGTGTGGGCAACCCACGTGAGCAACGGTGAAAATGGAGGGAAATCAAGAAGGTGTGGGCAACCCACGTGAGCAACGGTGAAAATGGAGGGAAATCAAGAAGGTGTGGGCAACCCACGTGAGCAACGGTGAAAATGGAGGGAAATCAAGAAGGTGTGGGCAACCCACGTGAGCAACGGTGAAAATGGAGGGAAATCAAGAAGGTGTGGGCAACCCACGTGAGCAACGGTGAAAATGGAGGGAAATCAAGAAGGTGTGGGCAACCCACGTGAGCAACGGTGAAAATGGAGGGAAATCAAGAAGGTGTGGGCAACCCACGTGAGCAACGGTGAAAATGGAGGGAAATCAAGAAGGTGTGGGCAACCCACGTGAGCAACGGTGAAAATGGAGGGAAATTAAGAAGGTGTGGGCAACCCACGTGAGCAATGGTGAAAATGGAAGGAAATTAAGAAGGTGTGGGCAACCCACCGGCCACTCCTACCCGTAGTGCCCCCTTCATATAGCAAGACAGAGCGTGACCCATACCAACAAACAAATTCTGTAGGCTCCTGGAAAGTAGGAAAATGACTTTTGCATACCTCACTGGTTCCACGAAATGAAAAACAAAATAACCATTTTAACAAACAAAACCTAAAGGCCAAAGTACGTGTTATATAAAGTAATAAAAGAATTGACCATCACTTTTGGTATATATCTAGACTGGAATTTGAAAAAAGACTGAATATAGAATGATTTTTTTAAGAGCATTATCAGAAAAACATAACTTTGAAAGGAAAAAAAAGTCTCTTATTTTATTTTTAGGTATTAAATCATCGTTAGTCAAGATGTCTTCAGCACCCGAGCCTCCAGCCTTTAAAAAGGAGCCGCCCAAGGAGAAAGACCCGGGAAACATAGGACTCAGAGGGGTCCGCACCACAACCTTATTTCGAGCTGTGAATCCAGAGCTCTTCATTAAACCTGTAAGAAATACATCCAGGATAAGACTTTATGTTCAATTTACCTAGGCTTTCGGAAATAGAAAGTTCTGATTTTCCTGTAACATTTGATTTTATCATGGAAATTTGATGTTAACCAGTAAGACTTCTCTGTGGATAAGAAGCAGATGGAAGGAAAATCTTAAATGCTGTTTCACTAGATACAGATATAAAACTAATTATTTTGAGGGTGTTTGAGAATTTAAATGGTAAATAGTTGAATTTTAATGAATCAACTGGTCACATTCCTGTTTAAAATTTTATTTTAATAGGTGTATTGATTTTAAGGAAACTTGTTTGATCAGGTACTATTAAGTAAATAAGACCTTCCATTGAAACAAAGAAAACAGAATGAAAATCTGATCAGTCTACAATTCCAGGCTTATTAATAATATTTTAACATAGGAGATTTTGCAAACATATATTGAAAAATTTGAAAACATGCATTTATACACTGTTAGGGAGTTAGCTAATCATAATTTTTGTAGCAAGTTACTGAATACATTTGATTTGTTAAGTTTTATTTTTTGAAAAATGCAAATCAAGTCATAAAGTGTACTTAAATGTTTGAATTTTATTAGAATTTTAATAACATAGTTACCAGTATAAACTGTTGGAAGGTTAAATAGGTCAATTTAAGCAATCAAATAATTAAATCAAGGTAGAAAGTTTTAAAAACTTTGAATTAATGTGTTTTTTTACTTGCCAAGTACATTTCAAGAACTGCAAAAGTAAGCTACTCTGAGCATGTAGCCTTTCTCAGATGTCCATCCCACTGAAAAAGTTTGACCTTAATTTTTTTTGATGATTAAGAATAGTGATGAAACAGAAGCAGAAATGATGACAAAAGCAGAAAATACAGAATTTAAAAGCTTTTATTTAAAAAATCCAGGAATTCCCTAGCTATCTGGTTAGGACTCTGCCCTCTCACTGCCAAGGGCCCACGTTCAACCCCTGGCTGGGGAACTAAAATCCCAAAAACTGTGTGGTGTGACAAAAAAGAAAAATCAAAGTAGCATCTCTTTGCCTCTTCGGGTCTTGGATTTTACAGAGCAAGTCAGAGTTACTGTAACAGCATGTCTGTTCTGTGACTGTGTTTCTCGAGGTGGTAGAATAGGTTCCCAGAGAAGGGGGTGTGTGTTTTGCTGCCCCTGGTATGTAACACGAAAGGCTTTCTGCCAGCTTTTTCATGATCCTGGGTGACAGGAATAGCACGCAGACTTCATTCCTCGCTTCTTAATAAAAATAACTAGTTTAAGGTTTGCAGATGGGAAGCTTGGGTCCAAAGAAGTCAAGCAACTTTTTCACAACATAGGTAACTGAAAACTGAGCCAATTTCCTTCCTAAAGGTGAGGGTCGGAGATGTCCCAGCTGTGAAGAGGAGGCATCTTCCGTAGTCTCTGAGTTAGCAGGAGCGGAGTTAACCGAGTAAAGAAATGGATAAATACTAGAAATGAAATTTTACCCTAGGAATGCTGGTGTGGTACTCAAGCCTTGGCATGACAAGTGGAAACTGCAAGAGATATGTGAGTCTCCTCAAATGATTGGTCTTATTGAGACCTTGTGGGTTTTTTTTTTCCTTTGACAGAACAAACCTGTAATGGCTTTCGGATTGATAACCCTTTCGCTTTGCGTGGCTTATATCGGTTACCTGCATGCAACACAGGAAAATAAGAAGGACCTCTATGAAGCTATTGATAGTGAGGGACACAGTTATATGAGGCGGAAAACATCTAAATGGGATTAATTGAGCTGGTTGCTGCAGATGAAGGTTTACTGGGGGCTCTGAAATCTTCGGCTGAAGATTAGGACCGCACAGTGTCTTGTTTCTTATTCCAGAAGATGCTGCTGAGGAAGGAGGGCGATTGCAGCCAAACCCCCGGAGTGATGTTGTCCTTTCAAAACGGAGCCTGTGTCGCATTCTTTCTTCCATAGAAAGAGCTGTTCGGTATTTTAATTTTATTAAATCCTCTTTTAAAAAGTGCTATGAAAAAAAAAAAAAAGTGCTATGAGAATGGCAGTCATTTTTGTAAATTGTAAAGTTCTGTCCAATAAAAGTACTGCTGCTCTTAAATTTGTGTGGTATTGTTAATATTTTAAGGGGAATGTACATTTACAGCTGTTGTGAAGGTTTAGTTTTGCTATTTGCAAAGGCAGTGTTCTCTTTCTACCTGGTGAAGAAGAAAATGATTATAAATTATTGTAAAGCCTGCAGTTAAAAACAGTTTTTATAGAGTTACAGATGGGTCATATATTTCAGTTTTCCATTTCAGCTAATTTTGGTCCAGATTTTTATTTTAGTTGAAAAAATACTCCCACTCAATTACTAAAATAAAGATTAAATGAAAGAATAACCCAGAGTAATTGGAGTTTTTCTTTAAAAAAAAAACCAAAAAACCAGACAGTATGGTATACTGAGTATGATGTTTTTATTTGACTATAACTAAATGTTACCTATTTTGTTTTCATTGTAATTTGTTATTTCATTGTTATTTCATTTCATTGTTATCACTGTAATTTAATGTTACAATGATATGATAAATGTAAGACCAGATGTTCTTATAGTTAGTTGAACACTAGAGCTGCTCAGTAGGTAAGAAGGTCTAGATTTAAAGTAACCGTAAGTATGTGGGGTTTACCTCATACCTTTCTGATGAGGGTTCTAGATGTGTTTTATTTCTAGATATTTACCACATTCTCCAAATCATTGGAATTGTATCTTAGTAAATAAATCTTGTCTTTGAAATTTTGTTTCATTATTAACAAGTAAAATAATTGCACAGGCAAAGTTTATCATCATAATTAAATCATAAGATTTAATTTCCAGTGCTTTATGGTGGTTTTGTAAGATACATGAAAAAGTGATTATGTCTGATTTGTAGATATTGAAGAGCTTAGCTAATTGAGTTGTCTATATGCAACTAAATTAAATCTTTATTACTGAGCCTTAAGTATTTCTTTGCAGGGTCTCTCTGTATAGTACACTTCATACAGTTTAAATATGCTTAGGTGGTATACAATGCCTTTGAAGTTTTATCTTTTGCTGTTGGTTGGTAGAGAACTAGAGTTCTTCTGTTTTCAGCTTCCGCATTTAATGCCACATCGTCATCATTAGAGCTCTTCTAATATCCAGCAAAAGCAGTTACTGTTTGGTGGGGGGGTATTAGTGAGCTATCACGAGATCACTGCAGCAAAGAAGGGCTGTGGGGCTGGGCAGACGGCAGCCTTGGACCCCCGGCTGTGTGTGAGCGAGCCAGGGCCGCAGTGGATTCCACAAGGTGCCCAGCTGCGAAAAGTGGTGCGAGGGGAGAAGTCCGCTGACCTTTAGAAACGAGGAACCTCACTCACTTCCCTGGTGGCTCAGAGGATAAAGCGTCTGCCTACAATGTGGGAGACCCGGGTTTGATCGGTGCGTCTGGAAGACCCCCTGGAGAAGGAAATGGCAACCCACTCCAGTCTTCTTGCCTGGAAAATTCCATGAACAGAGGAGGCTGGTAGGGTACAGTCCATGGTGTCGCAGAGTTGGGACAGGACTGAGCGACTTCTCTTTCACTTTTAGCCTAACTGTGATACTGTTCGAAGGTCTGTCACAAGTTCTGTAGCACAGTCTTCTATGTGCAGTGTCAAAGACTGCTTGGCTGTGGATGTTTTCATTCCTTCTCTAAAGGGAAATGAGACAAAGTCAGTGGTCTAAGGAGGGGATGCTCAGGGCAAGATGTTTATGGCATGTTGGAGTCTGAGTTAAGTGGTAGGAGGAATATTTTCCAATGCAGGAATCTGGTTGAGATCGGGCAAACTGTAACATAATAGATTGTCTTGAAGCAAGTATTGATAAATGAACTACCGGTAAGCTGCAAGCAACCTCTTAGCCCAGGGAAGTAATCTTTTCTGATAGAAGAGCCCTTTGCCCAGAAGAGCAAGCAGTCCAGTTGATAAGAATTTCCCGGTGTGAATAGTGAGGTTATTTATTGTTTAATAGCCTTATCTTCTGTAAGGCAACCAATCAGTCCCAGTTTTCTAAGCATGGCGGGGATTCTTGGGATGCAGTTCTTTCCATTTTAAAACAAGGACAACAAATGAATTAACTATGATTTTAAAAGCCAACCTTAGTAATTTTGAGTGCTTGCTTACTGAAAGTAATTTTTGCTTTAAGGTACTGTGTGGTTCTCCCAGTTTTATTGCCCTGGCACAAAAGCATTGTAGATAACCTAAAAAAAATTAAACTCCTTTTTTTTTTTTGTTCTGGCCTAAAAAATCAATTCTTTAAATAAACCATTGAACAGAAAGTATGGTAGACTGAATAATACACCTCTTTTCCCACACCACCCTAGAGATTTTTGGATCCTAATCCCAGAACCTGTAAATATGTTCCATTATATGACAGAAAGGTCAAGGTTATACCAATAACCTCACATATGCAGATGACACCACCCTAATGGCAGAAAGTGAAGAACTAAAGAGCTTCTTGGTGAAGGTGAAAGAGAGTGAAAAGGCTGGCTTAAAACTCAACATTCAAAAAACTAAGGTCGTGGCATCCAGTCCCATCACTTCATGGCAAATAGGTGGGGAAACAATGGAAAGAGTGACAGGCTTTATTTTCTTGGGTTTCAAAATCACTGCAGATGGGGACTGCAGCCATGAAGTTAAAAGACACTTGCTCCTTGGAAGAAACTCATTGGAAAAGACCCTGATGCTGGGAAAGATTGAGGGCAAGAGGAGATGGGGGTGACAGAAGATGAGATGGTTGGATGGTATCATCGACTCAATGGACATGAGAGAGATAGTGAAGTGCAGGGTAGCCTGGCGTGCTGCAGTCCATGGGGGTTAAAAAGAGTCAGACACGACTGGGGAAAAGAAACCATGGCAGAAGGAACTAGACAGATATGATTAAGTTCAGGATTTGAAATAGGGAAATGACCCTTTATTATTAGGGTGAGCCTGATATAATCACAAAAGCGCTTATAAGAGGGAGGCAGATGATGAGAGGAAGAAGCAATGTCACCCTGCAAACAGGAGGATAAGAGGCTATATTGATGCAAGCCCACGGGCCAAGGAATGGGAACGGCCTCTGGAAGCTGGAAAAGGCAAGGAAACCGATTCTCCCTGAAGCCTCCAGAGGAACCAGTGCTGCCGGCACCGTTGTGGACTTCTGACCTCCAGAACTGCAAGGGAATGAAATTGTGTGGTTTTAAGCCACCAAGTATGTAGTCATTTGTTACAGCAGTAGAATTAAACATACAGAAAGTATCTGGGAAATGAAGAGCTGTACCATGCTGCCTTTTGTCATTATTTCTAGTTGCTTTTATGAGCAAAGCTTGTCTTACCTAGCAACAGTTGCTAAGTATGTTGATAATTTAATCTAGACTGTAGGAGGGAGTAGCTGCTTAAATCTTCCCAAATCCAGTGCCCAGACCTTCTATGGGCAGAGGCTTTCAGTACCATTCTTTACCCCTAGGCATATAACCACTACCTAATCATGGTGAATCATTTAATCCTGACAAGCCTCTAGCATTGTCTTCAAACCTTGAATCTCTTCTGCTTTCTCAAACTTGAACTTTTCTTAAAACTGCTTTTTCTAATCCTAAGAGTTTTTTAACTGTACAAAGTAAAAGACATCTTTAATTATGATCAGGAATCCGAATTATACAAACTTCGTTTGCTGTGCTGTTTGTAATAAAATAATTCCACCAGCCCCTTTTGGGGAAACTTTCAAACGGATCCATGAATACAAGCCATTTAAGACACGCTTTTACACTCACAAAGATATCCTGGGTAAGTGACTTTCCTGTTTTTCTTTGTCCTCATGCTTCATAGCATTGTATGTCGTTCTTGTTGTGTGGACTTTGATCAGCTCTCTCAGCAAAGCTCCTTGTCCTTCACCTGTGTCTGTTCGGCGTGAGAAGAGTATGGGTTGAAATCCCGCTTTCCCACTTTCCAGCTGTGTGCCTTGGCAGGGTACTTAGCCTCTCAGCCTGTTTCCTTATATGTAAACAGGGATGTTAACACAATACTTTTCCTGCAGGTTTCTTCTGAGGCTTTAACGAAATGTTCCTCCCTCTTCTAAAGCCTGGCACATAATAGTAACTTGGAGTTCTTTTTGCCCTCACCCACACTTGGGCGCTTTCCATACGCATAGGAGAGAAATATTTCTAAGTAACACCTTAATAAACAGATGAAAGAAACTGTGTTCTTTATTAGTACTGGTGACATAAAATAGATTATAAATAGCGTGAGAATATGTACTATGTGTATACTTCTTTTACCTTTTAAGTCCTCCTTTTGTATTTAAAAACATTTTAAGTGTAGCTGATTTATGTTGTTTGAAGTGTACAGGAAAGTGATTCAGTTTTATATATATGTAAATATGTATTCAATATATTTTATATTGAATTATATATGTATATATGTTCTTTCAGATTATTATCCATTATAGGTTATTATAAGATATTGAATATAGTTCCCTGTGCCATACAGTAAGTCTTTGTTTATCTGTTTTATATATAGTAGTATTATCTGTTACCCCCAAATTTCTAATTTATCTCTTTCCCCTATGTATGCACTTCTAATAAGCAAATCAAATTTTAATTACAGGTTTCATTTTCTCCTCATTCCTCTCAGGTTTTCAGTCTGACTTTAAGCCTTAGAAGTTTTTTCCTAAGTACTCTCAAAATACTTCTCAAATCCTGAATTCCTTTAACGTGTTAAATTAGTGGTGATTAAATTTTACTCCTGATCTTTGGAACTGCAAGAAGCCATAGAATGGAGGGTGTTTTGAAAAAAAACTAAAATGAGAGGGAGATCAAATTGGGATCATCCTCTAAAAATATCAATCCCAAAACTGATCACTGATTCTAACTTTTAGTAACTGTTTAGTGTGACTTATTAATTATAATCTCTATAATGATTTGGCTTTTTACACCCAGAACAGTGGATATTCATTTTTAGATATGCTTTTTTTGGTTGGTTCCGTATGCCTCCTAGTAGATCTGAATCCAGACATTAAGTGGATAAATTAAAACATGTATAAATGCGAATAAGTATTGCAGAGGGTAGTTCTCAGCATTGGAAGCGTTCTACAGAACTTTTAAATCCAAACACAAACTTCACTGGATTTAATACTGTTAACGAAGTCCAAATTCATTCTACTCACTGCGTGACAGGCCAGTAGATCAGGAGATGAGTTGTTGGGGCAGAGAAGAACGACTTTATTCGGAAAGCCAGCAAACAGAGATGGCAGATTAATGTACCAAAGAACCTTCTTATCCCTTTCAGAATGCAGGCATTTTTTATATTAAAAGGGGAGGAGGGGTGGGGTGGTTGTTGCAAACTTCCTGGCGCAGGAATTCTTTGTTCT